GGTTGGGGGGAGGGAGGGTTGGAGGGGGGAGGTTGGGGCGGGGGAGAGAAGGGGAAGGGGAAACATTTGTAAAATCTATTAAAAGTCTTTAATTAAAAAAAACAAGGCTAGACAACCACAAACAACAACAACAACAACACCCTATCGATTTTGTTTTGCAGATCGCCCCAAGAATGTCCAACTTTTTCCTTTAAATCCTTTGCCCGTCAAGGAAGGAGACACAGTCATTTTGAACTGTACTGTGGGCAGTAGCTACCCCAGCATCAATAATTACAATTTTTTAAAGTCAACCACCTTCATGTCCACAAGTGACCATCGCTACTCGGCATTGACATTTTTCGCAGTACCTGAACTCTCAGTGCCTTACAGTTGTCAAGCATGTAATAATCTTGGCTGCACTTCCTCCCCAAGCATCCTTTTGGATGTCCTCTGTAAGTAAGAATAATTATATGATGAGCTGGAAGCCTTTAAGCAGCTACATTGTTCCCAGGGAGACCCACAAGAGCATTGGCACATTCAAGTCTTGGATAGAGCAAGTATAAGGGATTGAACGCGGAACGAGTTATTTTAGGAAACTCAAGTTATAAATCTTTCAATTTTAGCACCATTTTGTTTGAGTTCAGAGCTACACCATATTGTTGGGTAGCACACCAACTCTAAAAAAAAAAGGGTACGAATAGATTAATTAATTAACTTTTGACTGAATTGAAATTTCAACGTTAAAATGAATATATTCATATCCTCAAAACTTTTCCTCTTTTTGGTGTGTTAGAATGAGAATTTCAGCTGTAACTTTGGAAGGGGCTCTCATGGAAATACAACAGAAAACCCTGCTAGGGTCACCCTAGCTTTATTTTATTGATTCATTCTTCTTCTCATCTTTCCTATTACCTATCTCCTTATCTTCTTATGACTATAACCTTTGTTGCTTGTATCTTATGATTATATTGTTTTATTTAGTGTCCTAGTATGGACACTAGTATGATTTATGTTGATTGCTTATGTAGTATTCTATCACTACCACTAAGTAGTGTATCTCATGATTTATGATGAACGTATTTTTATAATGACAATGATCATGATTTATCACTTCTTGCTTGTATATGCACTGAGAGCTTATGCACCAGAGACAATATTCTTGTGTGTCCAATCACACTTGGTCAATAAAGTATTCTATTCTATTCTATTCTATTCCATTCCATTCCATTCCATTCCATTCCATTCTATTGTTCTATTCCGTTCTATTCCGTTTTATTCCGTTCTATTCCGTTCCGTTCTGTTCCATTCCATTCCATTCCATTCTATTGTTCTATTCCGTTCTATTCCGTTTTATTCCGTTCTATTCCGTTCCGTTCTGTTCCGTTCCATTCCATTCCATTCCATTCCATTCTATTCTATTCTATTCTATTCTATTCTATTCTATTCTATTCGATTCTATTCGATTTTATTTGATTCTATTTGATTCTATTTGATTCTATTTGATTTGATTCTGTTCTATTCTTCGATAGAATTATAAACCTGCCTTACTTTCAGGAGCCCCAGGTGTACTCTCATCTCTATTGTTCCCCACAGTAAGAGCCCTGGGAGAGTGATTGCCCAAAGTCACTCAATTAGCATCTGTAGCTGAAGGCATACTTGAACCTGCATCTCCTACTCCTAGTTCAATATTTCAGCCACAACCTCATATTGACAAAGCTCTGAGCATAATCAAATCATTGTGGGGCATTGCTGCCTATGCAGGCGTAGGCTGCTCTGGATTCACTCGGGTTCAGCCAATCCTCTGGCGGAAATTCTGCATGGTTTGGCAAATCCCCAAATCCCACTCCTGGCTGGCCACGCCCACCCCTCCCCTCCCAGGAGTCTCCACGCAGCCCATTTTGGATGCCAGGTAAATGCAGGGCCTGCATGGATGCTCAGGAAGGGTGAAAAATGGACCTCCCGGAGACTCTGAAAGGCCAGAAATGGGCCCCTTTCCAGGCTCCAGGAGCCTGGGGGAGGCAGTTTTCACCCTCCCGGAAGCTCGAGGAAAGCCTCTGGAGCTGGAATGAGCCCATTTCCGGCCTCCAGAGAGCCCCCGAAGCCCTGGGAGGGCAAAAACACCCCTCTTGCTGTGGTGCAGGAGGCCGATTAGGCCACGTCCACCATAGCAATAGCAATAGCAATAGCAGTTAGACTTATATATCACTTCATAGGGATTTCAGTCCTCTCTAAGCAGTTTACAGAGTCAGCATATTGCCCACACAGTCCTGGGTCCTCATTTCACCCACCTCGGAAGGATGGAAGGCTGAGTCAACCTTGAGCCGGTGAGATTTGAACAGCTGAACTACAGATAACAGTCAGCTGAAGTGGCCTGCAGTACTGCACCCTAACCACTGCGCCACCATGGCCACACCTACCCAGCAACTGGGCAGAGAACCTGTTGCTGAAATTTTTGAAGCCCACCCCTGCATCTATGGTTTGTACAAGCAAACCAACTGAGTAAAAAAAATGCTTTAGAGTGGTTGGGGGGGGGGGTACATCAAAAGCTGGGAATGATTTAATTAAAGAGTATATAGCTTTGGGTTCTAAAAGGAAAGTGGGTGCAATTAGTTGAGTTGTTCAGTGTAGCTAATGTGTGCCTCCGATGCTGGTCACTCTGGGCAGATGTTCAAGAGGAACAGGATGTCACTCTGTGTGCTTGTATTTCTCCTTTCATCCTACAGATGGCCCCAAGGACCTCAAGCTCAACCGAGAACCTTCGGGATTGGTCCTCGAAGGTGATCCTGTTCGCCTGACTTGTAGTGTGGGAAAGGCCAACCCCAAGACACTCAGCTACACCTGGTATAAAGATGGAGAACGTCTGCCTCTGAACTCTACAGAAAGTGTTCTATTCATCCAGAATGCCCAGTCAATGGATTCTGGCAGATACCATTGTGTTTCAAAAAACATCATAACAAATGCGATGTCTCCATCTATTAGGCTGGAAGTGAATTGTGAGTACAGATTCAGTGTATAGTCATGACATTCTTGTTGTGTGCTCAATGGGCTTTCTCTCCTAGGTGAAGTCATGGTGGACTCAAGCTTGATTCTTGGTTACGTCTTTAGGCACAAAGCCATCTGGGTGACCTTGGGCCAATCCCTATTTTTCAGACCCAGGAATCCCAGGAGTCAAAGGGAAACTACTTTTGAAATTTTGTTAAAAAAACTGCAGGACTTGTCCAGACATTTAGCAGGAGTCAACAACAGCGACAAAATGGACCACCTACCATAGTGGTCCTAGAACTCTTCTTTCTCCTTTGAAAAAAATGAAAGCTGTACTTCACAGAACCTGGGATAGTCTTGCCATATTGGATATGATTTGAGTGGAATCTAGTGGAATTTATTGTTGTCAGATACGATCTTGACCCGATAAGTGATTTTAAAAATGGGCAAGACATATTCAAAGGAGTACTGGAGGATCTGTTGTATTTGTTGTTTGATTACTCCCTTGTCAGTCATAGATTGAGGTTCTAAACAACAGTGAAAGGTGACTATCTTCCTCTCTAAGGTCCTCAGATGCTTTTAGGCGATTGCCATAGAGGCAAAGACCACGGATTTGACAAAACCATGTTTTGCAATCTTGATAACTTCGAGATGAGTGGACTTCAACTCCCAGAATTTTACAACCAACATGACCACTGATAATAATTCTAGAAGTGGAAATATCTGGAAGTTACCAAGGTTGAGAAATAATGAATATAGAAGCCTATTTCTCCACCTATGTCTCTCCTTGAGTCCTTCTAAATCCTTTTGCCTTGCCGCAGATGCTGAGAACGTGATTAAGAAAATATTAGAATGTGCAGAAATGAATAGATTAACAATGGCAATTAAGGAGAAAGAACAAATTGAATACTATATGGTATGGGGTCTATTTTACCAATGGTTAAATAATAAAAATGGAAGTTGGAAATGGGGAAACAAAATGAAGAAGATAAGTTAAAAGAGTTAAGTAAATATTATGACTAGTATGTTGAATATTATTATCTTAATATTGTAGAATTAATATGTGGAATATTATTATGATAAATATTGCAAAATCAATATTAATTTAACAAAGGATGCTGTAATTTATTGTTTAACAAAGATATTTGTATCCAGACAACATACTCTTCAAATGAAGATGGAATGATTATATTAATTTTTTTTTTAAAAAAAAACATTACTCAAAGAATCAAATATACAAATGCTGGATTAAATTCAGTGACTCTTTCTTTTTCTGACAGACGGGCCTCGTAACGTTCATGTAACTCTAGACAAGAAATCTGTTACTGAAGGAATGGATGTTTATTTGAAATGTGATAATGATGCTTACCCATTAGTGGATACTTACAAGTGGTATTGGAAAGGAGAAGAAATCTTTATGGAGAATTCCAAAATCTTAGTACTCAGGAAAATTAAGCCTGAGCAGTCAGGAGAATATCTTTGCAAAGCATTCAATTCTGTCTCTAATAAGGAATCACAGCTCCTCACCATTAGTGTATCCTGTGAGTATTTCCCTTGAAAAAATATTGTTACAGTTCCAATGTTCCCTCTAATTTTTTTTCAGTGTGAGCGGAAAAGTATAGTGTTTGAGCGGCACATTTTCATGCCTGAG